TTCTAAATCTATCGACATTAGAATTCCATATTGTATGATACTTTCACACTTGCCCCCATTAAATAACTATACACGATATTAATAGTTATGATTTTTATTTTTGAGTGGTTGGTTCCTAATGTGGACAATAACCAAACTATTTCCTCACCTTTTTTCATCCATACGAAAAGTACAGTCTTTACTTGTAATTGTTTCATGTCTTGTTTCTATCCAATATATCAATGTCATGTCTCAACCATATATTGTTTTTTGTCTCGATGGAAACATAAACTTCTAATTATATCTCTCATCTAAACCACATGGTGTTTTGGTATTTTGTACCATTTAGTGGGTGAGAGGATGATATTTGCATAGGTACAATACTAAATTTCCCAAAATTAAATCAGAAAAAAGGATTAGGTCAAGTGGGCAACAATGGTGTAGGCTATTCCTTTTACTATAAACCCTTGACATCCTCTCACCTCTCTTTCCCAAATTCATATTTGTGTCGTCCAACCTAAAGCACATTTAGATATGTCACTATAATGTTTTTTTGTCAATCTTCACTATAATGTTTATAATTGTTACTTGTTAGTATATGATGGCTCCAAGATCGGACCAACAAGAAAATATTAAGACATTATATACTGTAGCTTTAGCAAAGTGATACAAATTATATATCATTGGTCATTGCTTTTACATTTTGTTTAGTCTGTGTTTGAGTTTTGACTTTCAATCCAACATGATAATACTATATGTATACATACACAATCACAAACATGGCAATAAGGAAAAAATTTCAACTGAAATAAAAAAATCAACATCTTAATCACAATAAACTAATTTCTCGACTGCGTCAAAGACTATGGACGACTTTGATAAAAACCGAAAGTTGGGTTCCACTTTGGTATGAAAGGTAGAATATTTAGTAAAGAGTTAGTGAGAAAGAAGAAAAGATAAAGAAGAGAGGGCCATCAATATCATCGTTGTTCCATGGTTGACATGGTACACCATTCTTTACGAATATGAGGTCTCATCCAAGATTTCTGAAAAGCATATTTGATTTCTTTAATACATATTTTGTATATATAACTAATGTAGTGGGGACGTTGATTGTTAGAGGTTAACACTAGGCTACAGAACAAATGAAAACCGACCCACAAATCAATCAATTTTTTAAATCATGATGACATTAATTCGTATAACTTTTCTAGTGCCGTCTTTCCCTTGGAAATTTCTCTCTTTTTTTCTTAGATAACATACAAATCAAGTTGTGGAATATATAATTACTCTTTATATAAAAGAGGAATCATATTCATTCATCTTAATACATGGAAAGCAAAAGATGACTTACATGATTTCCATTCAAAAATAAACTAAAAGAATGATAAAATCCCAAAACATGAATAAAACTTTACATCGGGCATTTTGCAAAAGACTGTCCAAACAAGTCTAAAAGGAAGAACATTTTTTCTTTTTCGAACATTTGATGTTCAGATCTGGGCGAGCACATATCTTCGAAAGATGCTTTGTCTTGCATTGTTGAGGTGAAATGCATGAGTTTGAAAGTTCTCGTATGCTTCGTTGTAAATCTAACAAATTTTCTTTTAGTACTATTGGTGTTTACTATATTGTTTGGAGTGTATATGTGCCACTGTATTTTTGACTTTTGTGATAGCTTATTTGAGGAAATTAAAAAAAAATTGATTGTTCAATGACTCTATCAAGATGGTGAAGGTGACTCAGACAACATAGAAGAAGGTTAATTAGCTCTTTCATGACGATGTAGCCCACTTTCTTAATTATCGTATTTGAATAATAATTATAATTAAATGTGAAAGTCGGTTCCAAAACACAATTTCTCTGAACTGAACACATCCAATAGTCATTTTAAAGAGTCAAATAACCAAAGAAAAGAAAGTAATACGTTCTTTATAATATAACAACTATGTGATCTATATAAACTATGCGTGAAATTTTATCAGCATGAGAGCTTCTCATTACCTACATCTCTGGTCTTCAACAAAACAGGGCTGAGAGCTTCTTGACTCGATACATCCTACAAGCAACAGTTTATAAAATCTGGCGAGAACGAAATGGAAGACGACATGGTGAATCTCCAAACCCGCCTACTCGACTAATCAACTGGATCGATAAGCAAATGCGGAATGCTCTTTCATCTATCAAACTGGCGGGTGATCGATGCTACGACAAGGGACTGCAATTGTGGTTCGAAGCAAGAATTTAAACTCTTTAGTCTTTAGATTTCGATATTTCTAAACTCAATCAAACGTTGCACTAGTTGTAAAAAAGATATTTTTTTTTTAATATAATTTAACATTACATTAAAAAAAAAAATAATTTATCAGCATGTCACCTGGAAACATACGTTCTTTGAACTGTATTTTATAAAATTAAGATGTTTAAATACGATAACGTGTAAGATGGGATAGTTTTGTTTTAATATTCTAATGGGAAGTTGAGGAAAGTTCCAAGTGTGTGGAATCAAATTCACGTGTTGGAGAAGGGGAAAGTAAAGAAGAAACGGTCCCCCCCAGTGGGCCCATTACGGCCCAAATATTGTTTTTTTCGAAGCAAATAGGAAAGCAAATTGTGGGCCCGGCGGTGCGATGTGGATGTGCTTGTGTAATGTTTTAATGTTTTAAAGAGTTTTTAAATGCCAATTTTTGGCTTTTCTCTTTTATATTTCTTGTGGACTCCACTTTGAAGATTTGTTCCCTAGATAAAATAGCTTCTTTCTCTACCGACAATGTTCTTTTTTACCATTTCTTTTCTCTTCCTTTGATTACCATTTCGTAATACCAAGTGTGTTATATATGATCTATCATTATTGGTGCATAGTTATATGATCTATCATTATTGGTGCATAGTTGCGTACTGGTTAGGTGTCGCATATAAATGAACTAATTAAGCAGAAGATAGTGGAGAATGGAGATGATATTTGCCATCTAACTAACATGTGTTAGAGGAAAGCAAAGTCATTAATCATTGTATATCAATTTCCTTGTGCTGTCGATATATAAAAATAATGGGAGGTCGTCTAAGCATTACCAGTACTGCTGAGATTTTTTAAATAATAGTAGTAGAAGAGATCGAGGAGTAATAGTTTGACGTGACTTGATGATCACAATTGCAACGTCCGTATAGATAGACTTTCTTTTATTGATAACAAATGAGTTAATGGCACAAAACTACAAAAGTAGCGTGAAGAGACGGCAATAATAATGTGAATGTTGATGAATCCACCCCGGGACCATTCCACGATAAGTTCAGAGTCGTGCCCAAATTATTATGTACTATATATACGACAGCATCAATGATAAAGTGTTATTTTAGCGGTGAATTTTATACGATACTCTTTCCATCGATTTAAATGTTTCAGTATTTATTTCTGTATATCAAGAACTCTGCATTCAAAAAGATCTAAACAAAAAAGACAAATAAATAAATCATGATAAACTATTACTATTAAAAAAGTGGCGTGAAAGAGAACGTGAACCAACTGCATTTCACATGCTTCGAAAAAAAAAAAAAAAACCGGTCCCTGATTCCTCGAACCCTCATTCACCCTAAACGCGTAATTAATTACCATTGGCACTCCATTATTCAAATTCAGTCAAAGTTCCTACAAATGCTTAATCTCTAATAACCGGTTACTTAATGATGACATGGTTGATTGCATGATAGGATATAGATACAGCATTGAATGATTAACAACAAATATTTGACATTGCAATATTTTAGAACAAGAAGAAGAAGAGTATTTTAATTTAGCTATACTATAGTATTATTATTGTTTAATACGAAAGGAAGGTGGTGATTGTGTTGGATGGAATGGAGGCAGTCAAATACTTAAATATTAAAATTAAAAATTCGCATTTCTTTGATATGAAAGGGACAACTCAAGGCGTGTTCTAGACGCGCCTCGATTCTCTTAATTCCATTCTTCCTCACCTAATGCCATATCTATCAGTTCATGGGCCTTCTAAATACGTTTTACTTCATATCCAAACCTTTTTTAACCCTATCTTATCAATTTTTTACCAATGTGCGAATCTACTTCTTTTTTTTTGTTGGGTTTAATGCTAAGACTAGAGCGAATCTACCAGTACATCTTAGCTTTTGAATATTTTGGTCCAAAAGGAAGATATGCTTTTATTATTACTTGAAATTTGACAAAGCAATATTAATAAAACTTTTTAAAAATAATTTGGTAAACAGAGCCGTTTTGGGAAGTAAAATCCCCGGAAGAAGTGGAACAGACAGAACACGAAACGAGATTTTGGTGGACTTCCGAGTTTTGCTTTGGGTACAACAAGGGTAAGTTTGGAAACTCACATGATGAGACCCACTCTTTTTACCCAACGACATTTGCGCGCGCTCTCCACGTCAGCTTTTGCCATCCGCCACCACCGTTATTTCTCCACGCGCCAGTTCTAACGGCTAGTCAAACCTTGTTGTGTCTCCATTCTAACTTGCGCTTTCTGCTAATGGCTAACTTGCGCTTTCTGCTAATGGCTAACTTGCACCAACCCACTCCTTAAGTCTTTTAGCAGCATCAGTTCTCTCTCGGGTTAGAGGAAAAGTTGATATGGGTTTTTATTTTTGCTTTTGGTTTAATGGTCTGTCACGCATAACCCACGATTTCGACCACTTACTTTAATTTTTGTATCGAATATAACATTTTCTAGAAAAACACAAAAAAAATAATAACGATTCCACAAAAGTTTATGTTAAAGAAAATCCAAGCTTGTGAAAAGTGACGTTATACCCCTACTACTACTATGTTAAAAGACTAGTAGTTGAACCACACACAAAACTTTTCCACTTTTTTGGTGAAATTTCATACAAAGATGGGAAATGACATTGAAAGTGGGTATAAACCTAACCCACGATTTTTAGCAACAGAGGTCCCTCGTGAACCCCTTACGAAATTTAAAGATCTGACACATATGTCAAAGATTCGTGTTCCATCATCATCATCACAATCCAAAGACAAGAGAAAAAAAGAATGAACAGTTTTCTTTCAACCAAGAAACTTTTTTCTACTATTTACTTTTTTTGGGACATATACAATTTTACTGGTATTGGGTTATACTAAGAGGAAAGATTAACATGTAGACTAGCGTTCTTTGGAGATTTACATATGGGACAAGTGTTGAGTGAAGAACCACACACAGTACAAAGACACATGTGTCTGCACGGTAACAGTAACACACTTGCTTCTCCTTTCCCACAGCTTCTACACATACTCAACCCTACCCTACGCATCTTTTTCGTATCCTGCGCTTCTCCCGCTAACTTCCACCGCTCTTCCTCGCTATCGCCTTCGTCGTTGCTACCGCAACAAGACTCCGCGTCGTCAGCCACCGTGGGCGGCTCCTCCCACCGGTTACGCTCAACGGTGGCGAGAACTTGTTGTAAGTTGGAACGGAGGGCGTTTACGGTGGCTTCATTAGACTGTGCCACGTCACGCCATATCTGATTCTCTACGCACAAAGACTTAACCTTCTCTTCTAGAAAGAGGTTTAGTTTCCCGATGTGATTGATCTCTTCGTCTTTGGCTCTTAGTGTCTTCATCAAACCTTGTTCCACGGCTTCCACTATCCTCCTCCCTTGAGTTTTTCTCTTCTCTTCAATTTCCATTCTCATTCTCTCAACCTGATAATGAATTGTTGAAGAAACCATCAATTTATGTAAACCAGAAAAAATTTAACCAATATTATACGGGCCTTCAACAAATTGCACAAGAACTTACGTGATTAGAGATCAAACGATCGATATCGAAATGATGTTGTTGGACGTTAGAAGACAAGTCTTGGCCAAGAAACATGAGAGGATCGGTGGGATTTTTATGGCTTTGCATATAAGCGGAAGGATTTAAAACAACGGATTCTTCTCTGGAACGTTTTCTCGACGACACAGGACGAAGAAAATCGTTCTCGCTGTTGAATGTGACAGAACTATCAACGGAATGTATCGTTGGTTTCATGGATTGATGAACCAAACCATCAACTGGTGAGATGTTGTAGATGGGACTAAACAGAGAAGTTTGACATTCTACGGTAGGGTTAAACGTCGGAACGGTGCCGTATCTCATCTGGGTGTTATAGGCTAAGCCGTTTGCTTCAACGGGATGAATCATTTCTCTGTAAAAAAAAAAAAAAGTTTAAGATATTGAAAAGAACAGAGAAAAAGAAAACAGAGGAGATAATAAGAAATTTTGTACCTGTTGGAAGAAAACAGAGGATTAAGATGGTGAGCTTCAACGGCCATCGTTTGTTGACTATTATGAAAACTCGTTCAAAGCTATTTTAATGGGGATGATTCAGAGAAGCTCTAAAAACGTGAATGCAACGAAAGATGGAAGAAGAAGAAGTTATGTTGAAGAGGTTGTGTTGTGGGGGGTTTTAATTACAGTTTTCGCAGAGAGATAGAGGGAGAAACTAAAAAACAAATATCAAAGCAGAACCCAACACACTCTTGTCTGCCAATTTATAGTGAACAGAGAGGAAGATGTGATGTTTTATTTTATTTATTTATTTAATTGGCATTTTGTTGTTTTCTACTATCTGTTTTTTTTAATAATTTTTTTATAAAACAATTAAGCATGAGGATTCTTCGGTTATCCGGCTGACCAGTGACCATTAAAGTAGTTGCCTTTTTCAGCGTTTCTTCATGAGAAAAAAAGTTTGACAAGGACAGCTGTAAAATCTTTGGTTCAGAGGTTACGGTCAAAATCATAATTTCTATATCTGCTCTATTACTTTCTCTGGTTTTTTTTTTACTTTAAACTTCCTATTTCTCTCTTTTTTCGCCTAACTCTTCTCTTTTCTGCTTCGTCTTTAATTTTTGGCTGGTCAAACCTGACAATTAATAGATCTTATTGGTAACAAAAATGTTTGGTGTTAGTAAGTTACTTACACCGTTAAAAGATTCATTGTACACATACGTAAAAAGATTCATTGTACACATACGTAAATGCGAATGTATAAACGGCAAAAAAATCATTGCCAACTACACGAACTATACGCCAACACATCACTACACATGCAGACTATTTTAATGTTTCGCTAACTACACGAACTATTGATATTACATACCCCGAACTATTATCGGTTATGTGTGCAACACCATAACCATCATTTCCAAATAATATAAATGCCTTGTTAACTACACGAAATATTTCTTTTTTTGTCAACTACTTGAAGTATTTTCATCAATTTTTTTAAAAACTAATAAGTTAAATAAAACTATATAATATAAATTATATATGTACATTATAACTATTCTAACTTTAAAATTTTAATGTAATAAAGACTATACTAGTTCCATAAAAAATATATGTGTTTATTAAAAATTTGTTAATTAACTTAAACCTATAATGAACATGTATAATTTAAGTAAGTGACACTTTTAAAAAATTAGTTAAATTAATTTCATATAAAACATATGTGTGCATTAAGAATTAGTTAATTAATTTAACTTAAAATTATAAGGGATACTGCATATGTAGAATTTAAACTTTAAAAGTTATAATGCATATATATAATTAACAATAGTGTATTATTTACTTTTAGTTATTTTTTCATTTTGTAATTTAGTTTTAAAAAAATGATGGAAATATTTCGTGTAGTTAACAATATATTTATATTATCTGGAAATGATGGTTATGGTATATATAATTTACATTGATATATTATATAGTTTTATTTAATTTATAGTGATGTATAATTTAACTAAGTGACTATTTTAAATTTTTAACAATTTAATATAATAAATATTAAATTAGTTAAATTAATTTAACTTAAAAGTATAATGCATTAAAAGTTAATATATATATATATATAATTTATAATAGTATAATATTTACTTTTTAGTTATTTTTTATTTTTTAATTTCTTTTTTAAAAAAAATTGATGGAAAATACTTCGTGTAGTTGACAAAAAAAGAAATATTTCGTATAGTTAACAAGACATTTATATTATCTGAAAATGATGGTTATGGTGTTGTACACATAACCGATGATAGTTCGGGGATATCCGTATGTAATACCAATAGTTCGTGTAGTTAGCGAGACATTAAAATAATCTGCATGTGTGGTGATATGTTGGCGTAGCTGTAAATGATTTTTCCAAAAAATAATGGTACTACAATAGAGGTGGCTCATGTGACAAGACTTCTAAGTCTTGTGACTATCTTAAATTATTAATTGCCATATCCTTTTGAAAATAAGATCAAATCACAAATATACATGCCATTATCAAATGTATCTATCTTCTGTAGTGAATTGGGAATAACTCTATTATTAATTGCTTTGCATGCATGATTTGAATCAACAAATGATTTTTTTATTAACAGAAACAAAAAAAAAAAGGAAAAAAAACGAGAGGAGAGGCTTGGCTTATCCGTTGAGGAGAGACGAGGACAAAGGCCGTAAGATTCCAACGGGGAGAATCCGTAAAAAAGAGGCAGAGACGGTCACTGACAATGCCACGTGGCAAAACAGACAAAATCTTAAGGGTCTGGGGCCTTATGGTCCACGTGTGATGGAGTTGCCGGGATACGAGGGTCGCATGGGCACGTGTGTACTGCCAGCTTGGCAGTATTCCCCCTATTTATTTTTAATTTAAAACGAGAAATTAAAAAAGTAAAAAATATTGCAAGCCGTTGAGAAAGGTACGGTGTACCCACCGCTGCTTCTTTACCTCTTTTCTAATTTTTGTATTTTATTTTATATCTTTTTTTTTAATGTTTTTTGTCAGTTACTTTTTCACGGTTCTCGTTGCCACGTCTGTTGAACTAACATCGTGCCACGTGTCCACACAAACCTCTCTTCCTTATTACGACTAGTGTCATTACCACATTAATAAAAAACTAACTTAGTCTCTTGTTAGTTTGGCGTATACTTACTTACACAATCTCTAATAAAAAAATTGACTGATGACGTTCTTTATTTTGTTTTTAACCTTATTTTGTCAAACTTTTTGTTTCGTTACTTGTTTATAAATGTTTTTCTCTATTTTTCTTATCAGAATTCAGAAGGAAGTGTTAGCTTTGTCCTACACTTCGTCAAGATGGATAATTTAAGTTGGGTACTAATGTAGTGGTTCTCCACATTTTTTTTTTACCTATGTTTTGTAGTAATACTTTATTTGATAAATTTTGTGTTTATCCGTCTAAGCATGATTATTAATTTTGAGGAATCTAGTTGCTTTAACTCGAAAATATATTGTAGTAACATAATACAGACATTATGATTCTTACCAAAAAAAAAATACAGACATTATGATAATAATGCTTGCTTGCACCGTATGTCAAAGCTACATATGTTTTTCTTTGTCAACATTAATGTTTTCGTAAGATTTATGTTAAAACTATAAGATCAACAAAAGCTTCAATTCAGGTTAACATTAGGTATTTCGCTTCTTTTTTTTGTTTTTTGCTACGTACGTACCTTATTTTCAACCTATAATTTTCATAACTATTTATAGAAGGTTACAGCTTGGCTTTGTTAATGCATGTGTACACCTTGTTTCTTTGACGATCAAATATAATCAAACTATAATGTCAAATTATTACACTTTAAAGTTAAATAATATTAGTCGGACACTATCATATTTATATATAAAAGCCAATGCCAGATAAACTAAGTTATCTTGGAAATGCTAGAGCACGAAGAGAGGCATAGAATCACGAGGTTAGCATAGCAAACGCATTAAGATGAGCATGCCTTTTGCATCATATGCTTTTCAGACATTTATCTTTATCACTATATTAACGCTTGGTTGTATTATATATATACATTTTCTTATTGTTTGGGTCGATCTGACATCGTACAATTATCATTTCTTTATTTTTCGCTGACAACTAAAATGTATAAATAAAAACAAAATACAAGTTGCCTAATAGAAAAAGTCTAGGCTCATTCTAAAATCTATGATTAAAGAATCAGAATTAGTCGAGATATCCCGTGGGATTAAACTATAAAATTTGCATAACCATCGGAATATAAAAAGATCATTTGAATGAGTCTCACGTCTGAGCTACTTGAACTTTGGGGCAACAAAAGTGTTCTAATGCTATCCACATGCTCACCATCTCATTTTTTTTAGCTTACATTAAGGTTTAAGTTTCTTTCTTCTGTTTAACACTGAATAATTCATTTTCGAGCTGTATATCTATTGAATTTTTGTAAGCATTGCAAAGGCATCATCAAACTTAAGAAAAATAAGACTTTCTTGAATAATATTCTTATATAACTTTATTTTATTTTCTTGACAATGTACTTCCGTTCATATTTCAACGTATGATTTGATTTCTTTAACTTTAACAGAAGGTGTGCAGTGAGGAAATCATGAAAGATATATCAAATAGTACTAAAATTGATTTTTGGTTTGCAAGAAAATAAACGAAGAAGTAAGAATATAAATGTAGGTGATGGTTTTGGCGTGCCTGCTTTTGAGGGCAAAGGCATGACTCCATTGAGTTGATAAAAGTAGTTTCTTTTCTTTCTTTTTCTTTAGTTGAAACTTAAAAAGTCGTTGATCTATTGTTTTCCCACATCATCTCAACCGCTCACCATAATGAGAGAATCTCAATGTCACACAAAACACATAATCGCACCTCTAACATTTTGTATACATAACAAACTTTTATATTCTTTTCTCGAGGGAATCTCGTTTTCATCATCCCTATATTCATAATATATTTTGTAGTGTTTCGTAAGATCATCTACCATATATTTGCTTGATACATGTTAAAGTAGTTGTGTATATATTAAAGTAGAGAATATGGACATTTCATATATGTATGGTAGTATATAGATATATCGATATACGTAAAATACGTGAAAGCAATGCATCAGAAAAGTTGGTTGAGCAAAGAATTGGATACGGCTCGAGATGGCATCACATGTATTGGAAAAAGTGGAGCAATGTGTCATTATAATCCATAACCCTCAATAATGTGTGTTAACTTTTCTACTACTTCCATGATGGATTCCTCTCTCGAGTTTAGATTTCAGAACGCATCTTTTTAAAACAAACTTCCACCGATATATAGTTTAATCCATCTTGTGTGATCGAACCTCAAATTATTTTGCAGATGTGAAGTATATCCAATGTTTTAGAGAAAACAATTTAAACCTCATCTAACAAACCAATGTAACTTGACAACAACCAATTAGTATAAGGGAATTGATAATCAATTTTGTCAAAATATATTATTACAAGAATTAAAAGCAACGGTGGTATTCAAAGATGGAATTTATGCGGGTATTAATTTAATTAAATGGAAGATTTTGGTGGGGGAAGGGAAGTTGATATATAGATCAATCGAGCTCATTGTCAACATTCAAACATCTCATTACTTCTATCGGAAACACTCTAAACAAAAGACTTTAATTTCCACTCCTTCTCGCACCTCATTGTTAATTTACCTTCTCTCCATATAAATATATTTCACACGATTTTTTTGACCGTTGCACTTGATTTCATGCACCACCCCGTGGACCCACCTAATCTATCTGATAAAGTGATGATAATTGAGTAGAGCAGCAAAAACTCATACGAATTTTCAAGTCTTACACGTTACGTGGATCCAAGGCAATTTGTAGATCGAGGCGGAGGAGCCGTAATTATCGAGGACTCATAAAACAATAATATTAACGTATAAAATAAAAGAAAGACCTCTATTATATGTTTACTCACTCATATACATTCACCTAATCCTTCTGACCTATCTCCACGTTAACGTTTCATTTTGGAATCAGATGCCACAACTAATCTCTCTTTTCATGTTAAATATGATCGTATTTATCCCCTGTCGATAGCTCCAATTTTGACTAAGGTGTCATATTTAAATTGATTAATTAGTGTGTTAATTAGCTGCCAAGATTGATTAACATATAAAATCTTTGGGTGAAGATAAGGAATCAACCTCACCCTCCCACCCACTACACATATAAACAGAAAACAAGTGAAATCGATAGGTCTTTCTCTTTTCTCAATAAAAAATATGGATATTCATTATATAATATTCAGAATTGAAATTAAAAAAAAAAGAAATGTGAGACCATGAGAAGACGTGAATTCACTGTCAACTTTAAAAGAGAATGCATGAAAATGTGTAGAGAGAAAAAAGGGGTCGGCAAAAAAATGAATGGCTCTTCCTCTCCAATTCCATTGCACCACATTTTTCCGTGGATTTATGTCAATATCTTTGAAAATTTGTGTGTGTTTGAATAGATGTAATATAACAAAAGAAAATGTCAGAATTGTAATGAACAGAAAAATAAATGGTACCCCAAAAACCAAAAAAAAAAAAAGGTGGATCGAGATATTAATAATAAAAATGTTGACAGGAAGGTAGATGTGCGGTTGTATTATTTGCAATGTCCCTCTCTAGCTCTATAATTACACAAACTTGTCCAATTCATCACACTTCCCCAACCAAACTTGTTTGCTTCATATAAATTATTTATAAAAGTATATATGCAGGCAGAGACATGTGTGTGTCTGTGTAGGCTACTAGCTACCTCTCTTTTTCATAAATTATATCGATTGATTCCGTGGGATTATGACCTATGTGAGACTGTGACATTTGAGTTTTTTGGCCCTCTGTGTTATGTACTCATCATAGAATGCGACATTTTTTTTTTTATATGTATGTACAGTATATGATTAATGATCAATGCCAATTTGGGAACTCTAGTAAGTATGCTTTTAGTGGTCCACCCTCATTTCTAGTATTATCTTTTCGATAATTTCATATCTCATTTATTTCATTCTCAACAATCTTGCCTGATAAAACCAACCAATCAAGTTAGCTCAATTTTTTAAAATAGAGAACATTCGGCTACGGAATTATAGAAGTTGGTTGACTGCATGTTTATGGATCCTTGAACAGGCCCATTGGAGGCCCAAACCGAAAATAAGAAATAAGCCCATGATACGATGTGTGTATTAAATTAAGACAAATATTCAATCACTAAGTTAATCAGGAAAAAAGCGAAGGGTTTTAGAACTGTATCTTATCCGCTTCTCAACGACGGCGACTAGAGTTTTCGAAACTGTCGAACTCTGCTTACCAGCGAGATTAATGGCATCTTCCACCGGTCTCACCGTCGCCGGAGATTTTCGATTACCAGCTATATCGTCTCTAATACCCAGAAAAACTTCTTCTTCATTGTCATGCCTCAACAACAGAGCTTATAATTGCTGTTGGCGACTATCCAGAGGCAGAATTTTGACTTCTGTCAGTAAATCACGCAGACTCGCTGTGGGAAAGGAAGCGGAAGATGGGTTTCTCTCGGTACGATCAAACTCTCACCGTTTTCGATTTTGTCTTGCAATTTCCAGAGTAATTAATTGTAGGAAGTAATTTGGTAGTATGAATTAAGTAATGCTTAAGTTGGTTGATTGCTAAGAAAGATTACAACTTTTATGGCTGGAGTTTCAAATTTTATTTTCACATCCTTAATATTTGCTACAAGTCCTGAGTATAGTTGGTTTGACTCTGTTATGATTTGGAAGATGAGTTAATGACACTGCGTTTTGCAGAATGTGAGTGAAGATACCGATGAGATGTTCGACGACTTGTTCAACAAATATGGGAAGGTTGTTTTTAGGAGCAATGATATTAAGTCTCCAACAGCTGAGGTTGATGATGACGCTGAAAGTTTAGCATGTAAGCCAAAGCTTTATTCATTTGCAGTATATTTCCGACTTATTTGGCTTTAGTAATGGAGAATGAAATATTGATATTGATGTTGATCTTGTTATCCACATTTGCTGCAGTTGCTGTTGAATTGGCTAAAGTTGCGAGTGATGTGAAAGCTGGAGACATTAAGGTCCTCTTTGTGAAGCCTCTTGTCTACTGGACTCGGTTTTTCATCATTGCCACTGCGTTTTCCCGCCCCCAAATCGATGCAATCGGGTAGAGAACTATTTAGAATTGCTCATCTATTCCACTCGCACTTGCAAAAACATCTAACTTACTTTCTCATCATGAACCGCGGATGCAGATCTAGGATGAGAGACCTGGCTGAGAAGAAGTATGGTAAGGTTGCTAACGGAGATGTAAAGCCAAATTCGTGGACATTGTTAGATTTTGGTGAGTTTCTTTTTGCATTGTTATCCTGCCTAGTCCAATGTGTCAGTTGAATAATGACAGTTATATGTCGATTGATATACTTTCAGGTGATGTTGTGATCCATTTATTCTTACCTCCGCAAAGGACATTCTATAACTTGGAAGACTTTTACGGGAATGCTATGCAAATTGAACTTCCCTTTGAGGATCAGTCACCACCAAGTAGCTGATATGATGAGACAGTCTGTTCCAAAACACAAAAAAGTAACAGTTTGGAAGAAGTCTGTTGATTCTCTTCACTGGCTAGAGTCACGACACAAGAAGGCTGTCGATTTTTAATTTTGTTTGTCCATGCAATGCTCTGGTGGTTTACACGGCTCTCGGCTTGAGGGGTTGATGGTCCAACAATATCAGGAGCTCTCGGACATGTTTCTAGTTTTTTTGTTGGATAGAGTTAGACCAAACTGTGTTCCGGCTTTATGTAATGTATGCTTTAGGATGATTCTTCATGTTATGGAACATACACTGACCAAGATTCTCATCTCATTTGCTTTCACAGCAACATAATTTCTGTACTTTTAGAGTATTTTTCAGTCGATATCCAATCAAAAGAACTCAAATGTCAGTTATCAAAATCACTGAATGACCATATGGGATGGTTTTTGTGCATAGATAAGAATCCTGGAACATTCTTTACTTGTATATTATACAAAGAAACAATGTACAATGAGTCAAATATTAAGAGTCATTCAGACAGCTCTATCTCGTCTCATCATACACAGCATGTGCAACCATTGACACTGAAACCTGCTGACCTGAACTGTCAAGGCAAACAAGAGACCAAAACTGGAACTCTCATCTTCGCATCTCCTGCAATCGAAGAAATGAACGCGTAACCTCGGGATCGAGCTCAGCGAAAGGAAAAGGAATGCTATTGGGTGAATGATTGGTTACAGTTAGTCACATGTTGGTTTCCCTGAGCGGTTTCAGATAGACTGAGCTCCATGTCATGTGTTTCGGACCATCCTGGCTCATATGTCTCAAGGAAACCGATTTTAGCTTTATTGGGTAGGTCGTGAGGATGAACAAATGGAACTCCGTGTGGCCACCCGATCTCCCTTCTTATATTCGCACAAGGGCTGTTCATTACATTGTGGTTATTCTCACACTCCTTGAGATTGCAGAATCTTAGTTTGATTCCTTTTTTATCTGCAATTTCCTGAACTCGTTCCTTGAGAACTCTCTGTGCTTCTAACCTCAGCCGCTTTGAAGGTGGTAGTGGTTTGCATCTAGAATCGCTCTTCCTCCGCTTTTTCAGCTGTTTCATTGATCCTGTAACAAAGGAAGGATCTACTGTTAATCAAAACTTCTAAGGAGTACCTTAACACCACATGAACTATGAACTACGATTATCTTCAATCTGAATCCTTTTAAATGCTATGAAAGAACAAATATGGCAATTAAGCGTTAAGACTGAAAACAGTAAACTTGTTTACCATCCTGGGATTGAGGGATGCTGAAGCTTTGCAAAGTCTGTCTGTTAAAGAGTTCATCATTTGAGTGAGATCTCTGCATGAAATCATCGACTGAAACCGGGAGCTGAAACTGAGCTTCAACACCATGACCTGCGGCTCTCATCTCCGAGCAACTCAGATTGGTCATTGATTTTGGCATGAGTTTGAAGGCCAAGGAGAACCTCCCTTCTATACTTCCTTGCAGACTGTTTAAATCGGTTCTGTGCACTGCGGGACTCACATACCCAGCTGTAGCCTGGTAAAGAGCTAGCCCTGGGTACACAACAGCCTCTTGAGGACCAAGATCCACATCAACCAAAATCCATTGCCCGTGCATGTCCCTGATGTGGAACCCCGCCTTATCTGATTTCACAAATGAGATCAGACTCTTGTCAAGTTGGTGATCATGGTCTGCATACAGGATAAGCTGCTCGTCTTCTGTTAGGGTATGGTGCTGTGCTCCATGAAATGACGGCCTAGCATAACAGCAAACAGATAACACAGAGGACGATATCTCACCATTCCTCAAAGGGACATTATCGAGAATCTCAGTAAATGGACAGCTTCTCAAGTTCAAATAGAAACCAATGGCATCAAGAACTACACGAGCAGCTTTTCCTAGTAAAGCAAAGATATCAGGCAAACCAGCTGGAGGGAAATCTATAGAATTGGTTGGCTCGGTAGGGGTCAAACCGGGTCTATACTCGTAACTCTCTTGCCACGACTGAGGATCTGCATAGTAGCCAGAAGTCTTGCACCATTCTTGTGAATCATTTGTGTGGATCATATTATTAGTGGCTGGATATGAATCTCTCTGGTGAAAATAGAGCCGAGCAGAATCAAGACCGGATCTAAGGAGGGCTCCATCGCTAGGAGGAAACTGAATGATGGCTGCAGAGTACTGTGCCAGAGACTGAGACAATGTAGTCACTGCTAACTTGTAAGAATCAGAAGGTAGACCTTCACTGGGAGCTAAATCAGAAACCTTGACACGACCCAGTGTATGCATTCCATTTCCTGCCATCAAACTATACACCGAATTCCGGAAAAGCAATCAGCAATTGGTACAAGCTTAAAGGTTGAACATTGTCGAAGATGGAAGCGTAGCTAAGCAGAAGAACTCATGTGACTCCCCTCTTTAAGGTCCGATTGTCCAATAGAGAAATTGGTAATCTCTATGGGAGCGATGTAACATCAACAAAGAGATTCACTGAAGAAGGAAATCTTGTAACGCCTCATACTCATCAATCAATCATTTTCACAGCAAACAGAGAAATTGAAGAATTTGTGTATCAGAGTTGCAGACACAGAATCGATTGCAATGAAGCGACGGAATGGAATCAGAACCCTCTTTGCTGCAAGATACCCACAAAAAAGACAGAAACTTTCGATCACGAGACGATAAGTAATACGGAAACCCTATAAGGGGAATCGAAGAGAAGCCATGGAGGCGAATCAGTATGAAATAAAAGAGGAATCAAAATTGACCGTCGCCTAAACAGACCAAAGTAGTAGGGGATGTCTCCTTTAGGACAAGTATGCTTCACCAGATTTAAGCGCAGGGAACGACAAAAGTAAGACCAAAGATTAGCTTTTAACCAATCTCTCTCTGTGGGATTTGATTTGTCAAGAGAGTTTTTTTTTTTTTAAATCAAAGCTTTCATGAATCTGCGACTCTGTTCCTCAATTTCAAAAACTATTTGAAGCCACTCAAGCCTAATTTTATTTCTTACATAATGACCCAATTTTTATTTCAACTTTCATTTCACTCTGGGACATCAATGATAAATGGAATTGGACAACCAGAATAAACGAGAATGGTAACCGAATCCAACTGAAGCAAAACAAACTCAGTCTCTTTCTCTCAGTGGAAGTGTGGGTAAAGAGCAAGACAAACTTTAAGTTGGTTAGCTTTTTATCTATTCGGCTGGTCTCATTCTTTCCTTGGTCACTTGAGTGCGTCTGCGTTTAGCTCCATCGTCCCCTAAACGCAGTCCAACACATAAATCCCCATCGCAGCTACCATTTGTAAGGCCGACAGCAAGATCCTCTCTAGCAGTTTCAGGCCAAGCAGATGCGGAACATTGACCGCTGAAGGTTGGCATGAACTGGTGTTCTACACTTGGAGCACCTCCTTTTGTTTCTATTCTCTCTTCAAGATCAATGTGTTGGACCTGAAGAGGTCCTAATGATGCCTCTACCTTCTCTTCCGGGTTTCTCTTCCCTTTCTTGAGATTCACATATGGAGGTGACGAGTCTGCAACCATTGAGCTCATCCCCGTTGTTGAGGCCGCTCGTTGTTCTTGCACTGCCGCTGAACAAGTATAAAGTCTTGTTCTTTTATATGCTCAAGTCTCTGAACAACAACAACAAAAACAACAAGTATTACCTTTTAACCCTTCATCGGTGGTGATGAGATCAAGCTGAAGATGTGTAAGAAGCCTCCCCAGATCTACACCAGTGGTCCAGCTCTCTGGACACTCCCCCACCTTCAGTTTCAGCCTCCCGCGGCTTCCAGTGCCTCCCCATATGATCCCAATGGGTCTTGCCTTCTCTTCTCCTTTCATCACTATAAGGCTTCCGCTGTCTCCCTCAAGATCAAATGGACTGCGATGGTTCTCCCCAACAACAAGAAAATCAGTGAGGAAGCAGACTCCTTTCTCGTCATTGTACTCCAGCGCGTAAGCCAGCACAGTTCCAGTAGTCAAACCAGAGCTTCTCCCGACTTTCACCACCTGTTTACCCACTAAACTGCCAACTGGAGACTGCAACTCTATGGCTTTGACCTCACCAATCTCTCCAACTCCACCTTTGACAGACGTTGTAACTCGTGACAAGTCATAGTCGTCTGCAAAGGGGATGAATGCACCATCTGCTCTCACAAACGTCTCTGCAAAATAAGTTAAAAGTTATTGCGGGAGGTTGCTACTTCTTCGATGCTAAAACTCAAAAACTATGATGTTTCTAAACCTGGATTGGTGCCAGCAAAAATGCCAAACCAGAGATCGTCTGTGATGAAGGAAGTGGCTCTCTCAACTGCTCCAAGATAGACACCGGGACCGAGGGCAGGAGGGAGAGGATGAAACATCTTCTGGCTCGGGTAATCTAAGTTGACAGCAACATGGCGGTTAGTCACAAAACCAACTTGTCTACTTCCAGTCTGACTCCTCACTATTGCCCCCAAAGTCCCACAAGTCTCTTGGCTTGCCACCTGATTGAGTTTAGCAGTAATTACACAACACAAAGTTATCGACTTTGCAATCATTTTCATTACACCAGATACAATGAATGATTATACCTGAGAGCCTGATCCAATGAAAGGGTCAGAACCTTGGAGATGATCAACAATGTCAGTAGTGAATGTTTGTTTAGGTGTGGGCTGATGATCAGGTTCTCCAAAATAAGAAAACTCCACCACATCCACATCACACCAAATCCCTCCTGCTCCCTGATTTTCAAACCCCAAATCACACATTCACCAATCACACAACGTCCATTCCAATCCCATCAATCAAAGTTTTGAATTCAATATACCTCAAGAGCAGTAGGAAGACACTGAAGAGGACTTAGCCATTGCTTATGCACTTTCCGAGACACAAAGACAATAATCGCCGGGATATCAGTAAGAACCCCTCTCCGGATCCTGAACCCTATAGCTGTTCCAAGACTATAACAACGCAAGATCTTGCTGTGGAAAGCTCTTATAGTCATGAGCTCAAGCAAAGTAGTGGCTCGTTGCCCTTTAGGGTCTGTGGAAGCTGGTTCAGGAGAAACCTCCTCATCCTCCTCCTCCTCTTTCTGCAAGTTTGAGAAATAGTTAGCTCTTTCCTCCGCCGCGTTGCTCAGCCTGCTTGAAGTCGGCCAGGAGAAGTAAGACGCCGCCGTGAACTCGCAGTGTTGACCCGTTGACCCATACTGATGCATTGTTACGCCAGAGTAATCACAAAATCAAGCCTTTTTTGTTTCTGGTTAATGGGTAATCAAATCTACACAAGTAATCAGAAAACTAAGGAAGAGTAATTCGAAAATTTGATCCGAGAGACGAACACTACCAGTGCCACATACTGACCGGAGAAAAAATGTTCCTTGAATTCTCACGATGAAATTACTCAATACCCAAAACTTGAATTCGAAGGATGTGGTTTCTCTTCAACTGTGGAAATTGTAGTTGAAGACTTGAAGCAGTGAAAGAGCCGCAGCCATAAGTCCCTGTGTTAGTTCAATGGAGCATGGAGGAAAAACGGTCTTTTCCCCCCCTAGAACTATCGTATTTGGCCAGATAAAGCCCGATCTTTGACCTCTGTCTATATACCCATGAAACGGAAGTTAAATTTTTATTTTCTCACCCAATTGAAAGTTCGA